CTTCTTCTCCACGCCGCCCTATCAAAGGCTATTTCATTAGTCAAATTAAGTAGATTCATATCTCTATTTATAACGCTAGTCAACGTTAATCTACCTCACCTCCATATATCTTTGTTATTATTATAATTTTCTCTATTCATACAATATTAACTTTTATTTTTGTTCTTAACCTCTCAAATCTGAACCCTGCCCTTGCTCCTAGCGATGAGGGTTAGAGGTGACTATGAGAGGGTCATTGAGAAAGGGGGTGTGAGAGGGCGGAGATGACTAGAAAAAGGGTTATTAGAGGTGGAGGTGGGGAGTGGCGGGAAGGAGTGAAGGTAACTAGGAAGGTGTTGCCAAAGGTGGAAGAGTGACAAAGAGGGATTGCAAAAGGGGAGGTGGAGGTGTATGTGGAGAAAGGACTACTAGAGGAGTGGTGGATTGGGGGTCCAAAGAATGAGGGATACGATTGGGATAATGGTGTGTGTCACGACCTGCTCCTTGTACTCAAGGGTTAAGTATCATGATGGCCAGCAATTGAAGTTATCTACGGCCAATTCTAAAATAAATAAATAAATGCGAGTAGAAATAATATTTAAGTGAGGGTACCAAAATAATCATCAGAGCTTCTATCTGATATTTACATATGAAAAATAGAATTATAAATACTATAAAAGTGCTATGTGTATCTATTCCACAGTCTCGCGTTTAAGACTCTCTAAAAGCTATTTCTGAATTGCATTGTTTCCTAAAAATTGATAAATGACTATAAGCACATGACAGAGTGAAAAATATTATGCCAAAAGTATAAGGGACACAAAATAACCATAGATAGTTATGTAATTAAAATATTTAAAATAACTTAATCTGAACAACTAATTATTTAAGTAGCAAAACTGAGATTATATAAATAAATAACCATAACCACGGTACCGAACAGAACAGAACAGAGGTCACAGGAGTGACAGTCAAAACAGAGATCAATGGATTAATGACAATACAGAGGTACAAATTCAAGAGGTGGCTCGTATGGATTATAGAGGTGGCTCCCACATTAGTGTAGCACTTGTCTCCGCATAGCATTTTGTTCCGCACAGAACAGAGGTTAATAGATCCATAACAATAGAAGGCCACAAAGTGATCAAACAGAAACCAATGATTATTTAAATCTCCCAAGGCATGAGACTCTCGTGGTGATACGTACCAAAAATAAATATTTATATAATCATCGTCAAATAATTATTAAAATTTAAACAAACATATCCATAGGTTTCAATTTAAGCAAATAGAGTTCAGAAAATAATCAACATAATTGAAATACTAATACAATTTATAAAATATAAATTATGTAAAATAAATTATAATAACTTAAAAATATACATAAAATATATTATGATAATTTAAAATATAATGGTGTTGTTTGGTGTAGCTGTTAAAACAGATTATAGATTATAGCTTAACAGATTATAGATTATGACTTTAATCAGAAGCTGTTAATCTGTTTGATATAGCTGTTGGATTATAGATTTAAATTGCTGAATAGTGTTTGTTAAATAAACTGTGAAGTAACTTTTTCAATTAATTTTTATTTTTTATTATTCACTATTTGTCTGCATTTTTCATAAAAAATAATAATAATATTTAATAGTCCATTTGGGTCTTTTTCTATTTTTAAAAAAATAAAAAATAAAAAAATCTAAGAGTATAACCGTGAATTAATATGTCCACAGCAAAAGTTGATAATCAGAAGTAAGAGGTGAACAGCTTTTCAGAATCAACTTTTTTAACTTAAAATAAGTTGTTAGAATCAGAAGTCAGAAATTGTTTGAAATAAATTTAATCAAATAATTCAAAATAATTTTTTAAAAACCAAAAGCCAAGCTCCACCAAACACCCCAAGTATAACTCACTTTAACCTTGGCCCTTAATTTTTATTTCTCTACTTATAATTTCTCGCTACTACCAAGCTGCACCCGCACAATTTTTAGGAGCTTATTTAGAGTTGGTGGAGTCGAATGAATTTTCACCATGTTAGTATCCTATTTATAAGGGGTGTTTGGGAAGAAAAAAAATAGCTTAATTTAGGTTAAAAATCACAAAAAGATAAAATAGGCTAAAATAGTTAATAAGACAAAATATCACATCAAATCCATAATCATTTCACTTTTTCTCTCACAAACATCACATCCAACCACAAAAAAATCCAATCATCTTCCCAAACACAAAAATTTTAGCCTACTAAAATAGTCAAAAACTAAAATAGCCTACTAAAATAGTCATTTCCCAAACGAGGTCATAGTTGGTGGCGTGTGGCAATTTTGTATTTGGCCACCTGTCCCATAGTTTATTTCCTTTGTCCTTTACGTGACTCGCCCAAGCTAAGGATTGTTTGAGATTATTTAAATAAGTGTATTTTTTAATTTTTTATAAAATATAAATTGGATGTAGGTTAGGTTTGAAGTGATATGATAGAGAAGTGATGTGATTTAAATAAGATGATGTGATTTAAATATGATGTGACTTTTTGACTTTTTAACTTTTTTAAGTTATGACAAATAAGGCCTTAGTCATCATCCTATATATTAGGATGGTGATAAATCACTATTTTTATTTTATTTTATTCTTATGAAATATTTAAGATTTTTTTTATTTATAATTAAATAATATGAATATAAAATTTAAGAAATAATTTAAATTTTTGAGTTACTATAGTAGATGTAAAAAAAATGGTGAAACAATTTTGGTGGTAGTTTGAAAAAAATTTATTCAAAAAAAAATCATTGAAATGATGTGGCAAGTGACATTCGTGTAAATAATAAGATATTTTGATAAATCTTTTGATTTAATGAATTGACTACAACTCTATTACACTATGTTGTATAGATTTTTTATATAAGTTATTTGCTTGTGTTAGTAAGGTCTCGTTTGGGAACAAATTATTTTAGTAATTTTTTAATTTTTTATGAAAAGATGTACAGAAAAGTAGAAAAGTGATGTGATAATTTTTAGTAATTTTTTAACTTTTTGACTAAAATAGCCACTCCCCAAACGAGGTCTAAGTGGAATTTTTAACATATTGTTTTGAGAAAGGGCCTGGATTCCCTCTCATTTGTGATCGAATTGAAAGTGTTGGTGGATTCGTGAGGGCTTATCACGGGTCCCGTTTCGATAATTCGAACATTTCAATATATAGAACTTGTCAAGTATTATATGCTTATGAATAATCACGTTGATCGAATATTGATAGTTATGTGATCAAATCAGTTTTGCATAAAAAAAATAGACGGCAAAAAAATAAACGGTTGACAGAAATCTAATCCGATGGATAACTATCGATATTCGATTAACGTGATTTTTCATAAATATATATTATTTGAGAAGTTCTATATATTAAAATGTTCAAATTATCGAACCGGGATCCGTAATGGACCCTCACAGATCCAATAACATCTTCCAATATGATCACGGACAAGAGAAAAACCATACCTTTTGAGAAAACATAAACAAACACCACTTACTCTTTCCAACACAAGTACACGTGGGTGTTTGCCAATTGATTAGAAGAGGGTTGATTTATCATAATTTATTAAAAGATAAAATAATTTAAAATAATTAGTTTTTGTTTGGGAAGAGTTAAAATAACTTTACTTTTTTAGTGTCATTTGGTTTTTGTTTTTAACTTTTTTGACGTTTATGAAAGAAAAAATATAATGATTATGGTTTTGATGTAACATTTTATCTTATTGACTTATGTAGCTAATTTTGTCTTCTATGTTTTTTTAGCCAAAAAGCCAAAACCAAACATAATAAGATAAAATGTTACATTCAGTCCATTATCATTTTATTTTTTCTCTCACAATCATTCAATCAACTAAAAAAAAAAGGCAACTAATTTTTCAAACATAACTATTTTAGTCAAACTAAAAGAACTAAAAAGTCAAATATCCAATTAAAATAATTAACTTTTCAAACAAGACTTTTTTTGTATAAATTTTTTTTTTTTTTGCAAGAATAAAATTCCCTTTTTAAAAAATGCCATTTCTATAAAATTTGTATTTGTAAAAAGATGAATTTCTCTCAAATTCAAATAAGAATATAAAATAACTTGAGAGGCCTTTGAGACTCGTCACTCTTCAATAATCTGAATTATTCGTTGTATTTAAAAAGTCTACGAAACTTATCCTGAGTTATTTTAATGATTTGAGTCACTTATTTTATAAGATTATTAAATGTGTAGTATGCATTAAAAAAATTCATTCTTCATAAATATAATTATTGAATAAATTATAAACACACTTTTTGAAATTTATTTAAATTACAAATAACCTCTTATGATTTTAAAAATTACATTACGCCTCCTAAAATTTTTAATTTCATAACAAATAGATCATTTTATTAATAAATTATTAAATTAATTAATAATTTTTAATAATGTTAAAATTTTATTTCAATTAATAATTCAGATAATTTTATTATTATTTCGTATATCTCCAATAATATTTCCTACTTTCTAATAAATTTTAGCTAAATACTGAATTTCTTATTTAAAGGAATCATCTTTTAATAATAAGGGATGTAGAAATAAAAAAGCTTGTCAAATTTTGAATTATTTTGAGAAGCACTAAAAAAATTAATAATTTTTTCACTTATTACAAGAAGACGTCTAAAAAATAAAGAGTTGATATAACCAAATTAAACTAATAAACTGACTTTTTTGACATTTCTCCAAACAATAATGCTAAAGACTATTAATTAGTACTACCATTAATGATGTGGCAGTGGGTTCCACTCACTGTCACAGTGTGTTTACGCTTTTCTTTTTTTTTTGTTGCAATCGCTACTTCATTAGTGGTGGAATTAGTTATGACAAATTAGTAGTCTATAACATTGCTCAAAAAAAAAATATCTACCAAAGTACACGTGTCTCCACCTCACTAAGACGTTTGTCCCCCTTACTTGGCATATATTAAAATATCTACCACGTACACTTGTCTCCGCCACTAAATACATATATTAAAACTCCCAAGATATATGATGAATTAAAAAAACCAACATCAAACAACCCCAAAGAAATCGAGGTATGGAAGACTATGGTGTGACAGAGACTGAGAAAGAAAAACTCCATGAAACAGAGAGAGGTAAGAGAGATCATGAAAAAGAAGAAGGAGATGAAGAGAGGCCAAGTGGGATCATAAACCACATAATCTCTAACCTGGTCTCTGGAGGAAGGGAAGGAGGAGGTGGTGGTGATAAAGAAATTGATGGTGCAGAGAGAGGAGGAAAAGAGAAAGAAGAAAAGGAAGGTGGGCTTATCACTCATCTCATCTCCAAGTTGGTCTCTCCTCCTTTGAATGAAAAGAAAGTTGAAAGTTTTGAAGTTAAAGATGAGAGTAGTAATGGTGATGGGAGTGATTCTAAATCAGAGGAGGGTGCAAGTGGTGGTCGGATTATCAATAATCTCATCTCTAACCTTCTTCATCGAAGTGAAGCTAAAGAAGGGAAAGAAGATAAGAACAATCAAAATGAGAAACTAAAAGATGTGAAAACAGAAGAGGAAGGTGGTGGAAAAGGAGGCATCATAGATAACCTTGTTTCTTACTTGCCTACAAGCCTTGCAGGTACTTTTATTTGTTTTTGAGTCATTTAAATCAATCTCTATACTTTTAGGTTAAATGCATACTCAATAATAAGGCATTAGGAAAAAAAAAACTTCAGAGAAGAAAAAGGAAGAGATAAATAGTTATATGGTGTAAATTCAAATTTAATGTTATGTAGCTCATACTCAGAATGAATCTAATCTGTACATTTTTTTTTACTCCATAACATATGTTGAAGATCTTAAAAATGCCTTAACATTATGACATTTCAGTTATGTTTGTGAGACATCTTGACCTTGTCTAGGACTGGAGATAGTTGTCCTAATCCTGAGCTGGGCTTGTTGATTGCCAATGTTTGATATGTTTTCTTCAATGTTTGAAATCTCAGAATTTTGAACTATGGGGCACAGTTTGATGAACTCGTTCTAATCATAAATTCTTCTTCCTTGTTTTCATCACCAGATGGTGTGGCACCACCAACCGATGAGGCCTCTATTCTTCTTCACTCCATTGTCCATGACTAAAAGAGCCATGATCAGGATTCTGTAGAAAAGTGGTTTGAATTTCATTTGGATTCATGTATTGGATGGTGATTGAATTTGGGCATTTTGGATGGTACTTTTGAATATATGGTTACATATTCAGGTGTAGATTGTTTGGATGGGAAGAATTTTTAATGCGTTTGGTTCGAATTCTAACTGGTGGTTTTAGATTCCAATGAGATTGGTTGAAATCCGATGAAGTGCACTTTATTACTTGTTCATGTACCTAAGTTGTTTTACATTCATTGTATCTTGATCTTTCGCGTACTCGTGATATAATAGTGTTTCTCATGAGTGTGAGTAAGCTAAAAAATGAGTGATTTGGTGCAAGAAGAATGTGGTGAATGTAAGAGTGTGAGAAATTGACAAACTGTAACTTTCTTTTGGGATTATTAGATTTGATGATATGTGATGTCTGTAGATGTAATTATAATTTTCCTAGTGTACATATTATGGATTTATCTGAATTATCTTTTTTGATTAACACAATCATATGTTCTTTCTGTTCAATTTAAAAGACCTCTTTTTTGGTTCCCATAAACAGCATTAACAATCTGATTTTAGGTTTCATTTCCCCTACTATATGGTATTTTAAAACAAAAAACAAAGATATTCAGGCTTCCAAGAAAAAGAATCGACCGAAAGTGACTTCTAAATTCATGAAAACAATATGCTAATGGCTTGTTTTGAGGTGTTTGGGAAGAATTTTTTTTAGTTTTTTTTGGCTAAAATAGCACTAAAAGACAAAATAAACTAAAATTGTCAATAAGACAAAATGTCAAATTGAACTCATAATTATTTTACTTTTTCTCTCACAAATATCACATTCAACTACAAAAAAATTCAACTATCTTCTCAAACATAAAAATTTTTGCCTCCTAAAATAATCTACTAAAATAGCAACTTCTCAAACACCCACTTTATATTACATTTATTGTGTTTTCCACAATAACAAAGTTTACTTCTTTTGGGTTTGAGTTGATTTGTTCATTCATCTGAATATTAACACAAAAGTTTGTAAATCATCACACCGTAGGTTTTATGGAACATAGACTCTAACCGAAAAAGAAAACATGGATGGAAATCTTCAAAAAACACCATCACCCTCGTGTAGGAGCTTCTGATCAAAGTGCCACACCCCTGCAAATGCCAAAAAACAAAACAAAACACTTAATGCAAGATTAAAAAAAAATTAATATCATATAAGAAGAAATTGAAATTGCAGTGACCCAGCCAAATTTCAAAAAAGAAAAGAAAAATCAGAAACGGATAGCGATGAGTGACATTGAAACTTGATTCATACCATGTCCTTTCCCAACCAGTCTCAACTGAGTGACAAAGTCTGCAATTTTCTTAATTGCTTCCACCTAACGAAGGAAACAAATAAGAAAGAAGTCGACAATATTATAAAACTCATAGAAGATTATTTCTTCTTTACCCACAGTATTTTCTTCCAAAGTTTTGTTTGTTTAGGGATGAAAAAAAAGAAACATTCATGTGTATTAACTGGTACACGTAAAAATGAGGTTCTCAGATCACCTGCTCAGCTAGAAATTCACGCTCAATAAACTCAGTCATTTGAGGATCATTGTTTTGAGCAGCCACCTGTTGTCAAGAACAGAGCAAGTATGAGTACTCCTAGTCGTCCCAAACTTCCATTTTAGACACGGTTCAACCTCATAATGCGTAAAATGAGTTAAATGGACCAAGTGTTTTGTCAAATACTGCTAATACTTGGCCATTTTAGAGAATGAATTCAAAGTAAGAAAACAAGATACTGAAGGTAAAGGATATCTTACACCATGCAAGCTCAGAAGTTTCTCATTTGTCAACTTCTCCAAGGACAGTGCTAGTTCCATTGCTGAATCAAGAAATCACAGAGAATGAGAGTTGATTGTTGGGTAGTGTAGTAGATCCCGAGTACTAGACACTAGCACTCAACTGTGGATCAAACTTCACAATAAGTTCACTTTCCTTGTTCAAAAAAAAAACAAAACCTTCACAATAAGTTGGTGGGGTTGCAACTTGCAAGGGGTCAGAGCCCCCTTGCCTGAAGGTGGGGGCTCAGGGCCTTAGCCCTTACCCAAATTCTGGAGTCAGCGTGTTTTGGTATTTCTACATCTGTGACATGTAGTTCTGATACTATGTATATGCAAACTCTGGACATAGTCTTAATTTTGAGGTGAATCACATTAATCTTATGTTTTTGTGAGTGGGTGTGATTTATACTCTTGTTTATTATTCTTCTCTATTTTTTCATATCTCACCTATCTTGATTAGGTGTTTGGGTGTTTAGGTGTTCTACAATTCTTAACATGAACAATGCACAAATATACTCTGCAAAGCATGTAAAAGAGGCTACTTACCATACAAAGCATCACCCTTCTCAGCATGTTCAAATTCAGAAAGGGTCGCCAGTATAGAGTGTAGCTTAACTCTTCCTCCGCGTATGTTCTAATATTAATCAAAATATGCTTTACATAAATTTAAAACAAAATAAAGAAATAATAAAATTTTGAAATGGTTTTTGGGTAACCAAAAAAAAAGAAGAAAAAAAAAGGAATCATGTGAAATTTGGCAAACACCTGGTATTTCATAAATTTCTCAGCATGTTCTCTTTCTTCATCACTTGACTCCTTGAAAAATCTGATTGCAATAAGATCATATATTAAAACTAGCACAAATCAATAATGATGTACCAAGTTGGGAGAATTTGGTGGATTTTGTGTTGTTACTTTGCAAGGCCCTTGAGAGCGACATTGTCCCTGTCGAAGTATGCGTACATGGCGTGATAAACATACGACACATTGTATTCCACACTGTGATTACAATGAGAGAAAACCAAATGAAAGTAAGAAGATAATAAATGAAAGTAAAGATTTGTAATGATTGTTCAAAGAAGGAATGCAATGCTCCGCACTATGTGAAAATATTTTTCGTCGAAACAAACAGAGCATAAGCATAAAAGTGAAGTAGATTGGAGCCAAAAACATTAAAAAAGAACATAATATATATATATATATATGTATATACTCCCTCCGTTCCAAATTAATAGCCCCTTTTGAGGAATTGAACTTTTTTGGTAATATAATTATTGCACTATAAAAATATTAATTTTCTAAAATTACCATTTGATAGTATATTTTTGTAGAAATATCAATTGTCATAATTGTACTTTTTGTGTTGTTAATGAATTTGAAAGAATGACAAAATAAGAAATTTATATTATTTTAATCATTGATACTAATATTTTGGAACGGAGAGAGTATTTAAAATGAACCTGGCTTCTAAATAGTAAGATAAATTCCACATGATAAGACAATTTGAAAGCATTATCTATGCCAAATTAACAGAGTATATTAAACATTAAAAAATTCTCCACCTTAAATATCCACAAATTTTGTATTATAATTTTTTTTAAAATCAACCTTGTTTGGATGACTAATGTGAAAACAAATGTCTGTCAAGTACAGAAAATTTACCAGGATCCACACACCTATACTAATTGGTAATAAAAACAAACAAAGGACAACAATTCACATTCATCCAACTTTAAGGATATCCGTGAAGGCAAATAAACTAGCCCCACAAACAGTAAATGTTAAAAAGGAGGATGGTTTTTATTAGGGTTTACTATTGGGATGCTTATGGATAAGAAATGATTTTTTATTGACCTTTTAACATTAAGGAATTTATTTTTTTATTTTTTTATATGCCTTTTGACAAAGAATTTTTTTATTAGGGTTTGGACAATTTAACAAATAACTTAAAAATCTGAGGCCTTTTGAAAAACGGGAATGATAAATCCTTTTAATTTTGAAACTCTAAACAGAGCTCTAATGACTTAGCAATAAAAAAAACAAAAATGTTTTGGAGCTCCAATAAAGGAGCTCTAATCGCTCTAATGGAGTGTGAGTCCTACTGTGATAGTGATATTTGTGTCTTGTTTTTTTTTTTTTTTTTTTTTTAGGGGGGGGACTTTCCATGTCATTAGAGCTCATTAGTGCTCTTTGATTTAGAGGGATGTATCATTGTTGAAAAAAAGAAAAAACCAAAGACACAAATATCATATCATTATGGACCCACACACCCTTAGAGCTCTAGAGCTCCAACAATTAGAGATTCCAATCTTTTTTTCTTTAAAAAATTAGGGCCTTAAGCAAAGGCCTGTCTTATGGGTTGGGCCGCCACTCTCAGTACCGTAAAGACTTACGTTCAACTCAAATTCATTTAGACCCTTTCTTTTTTTTTATTTTTATTTTTTTTTATTTTTAAATATGAGCTCATTAAATGACCTGTGAAGCTTAGGCCACTTTTGGTTCTATTTTACTTGCATATTATTTAGCTTAAAATTTAAAACCAGGATTAAGTAGTTATACTTGAAAAAAGAAAAAAATAGGTGTTTTCTTCAACTTTTTAGGTTTTAATTTATTTATAGATTTACAAACACAATTTGTGATATTGAATATTTAGGGAGAGAATGATATGTGTTTCTTATGTCCCTTCATTTTTAAAGAAAGCAAATACCACAATTGTCCTCATAATACATATCATTCCACAGAAATTATGTAAGTATATTATATGAAATAATTTATTCACCGAATTTGTTGTAGTTTGAATAGCCCGAATTTGTACCAATTGGATCACCGACTTCATCCGCGTCTACCGCAATTGTCACCCCCATCATCCGAACAACCGACCGGACACCAAATTCAGAATGTAGCATTACTCATATATTATATTCCAATTCAAAATAAGTAAAAAAAAAAAAAAAAAAATTAAACTTTTCAAAGCGTGCTTTATTTAAGGTAGACTTTTTAAGCCTTTTTTGAAGTGTTACCATCAAACAGGGTTCTCAATAATTTCCACAAAAATGTTTCAGACCCTCATTTTAATCACCTGACGTGGAGGGAGTCGCGTGAAATGAAAGCCCACGGGCCCATCTCATCCCTCATCTCTCTCTTTTCTCTCTCATCTGTGCAAATCATTCAACCCTCCTCTCTCTCTCTCTTCTCTCTGCACCATTGCTCCGGCCACCTCCGTCGGCGCCGAAGTATCGTGACGACGAGGAGGAGATCCGACCACCACGTCATCCTCAACGCCATTCGTCGATCGGTCCATGGTTGAAAGCCGTTGACGGATTACCAGTCTCCGGTATTGGATTTCAGAATTTGGACCGACGGAACATTCATTCAATCTTCATAACCCACAACTCAATTTCATCACATTTATATGATATATATATATATGATATACATATCACCAAATTCAATCAAATGTTGATCAAAATTCTTACCATTTCTGAACCTTCATTGTGGATTTACAATGTATTGAAATGGGTTTTTGAAATTTCAAGCTTTGATGACCTCAAAATTGTTGATTGTAGGCTGGTTCCGGAATCTGAAGCTACCTATTTGTTCTCCACAACTCTCCTTTCCCTTCTCATTTTGGGTTGGAAAGAAAGCCAAAAAAAAAAGACATATATATTGAAGGAAATAGAGAATAGTAGAGAATAGAGAATTGTATGTGATTTGAATATATTTTGATTTGTGGCTGTGGGTTTGATTTTGGGTTTGGGTTTGGGTTTGTGGTGGTTTGGGTTTTGAGTTTGATTTTGATTTTGATTTTCATTCACCACCCATCGGCGCCACCATCATTGTTGCAAACACAGCTCTTCCTTCCTCTTCCTCATTTTTTTTCTTCAGTTTACAAATATGGTGGAGAGGAGGCTGGGCAGAGAGGAGAGAGAGAGAGAGAGAGAGAGAAGGCAGCAGAGCACAACACTTCTTTTTTTTTTTCTTTTTTTGGTCCTTTTCAGAACGCGTGTGTTCACGCTTTGCTCATTGCAAAAGTTCAAAGCAAGTCTGATCCACAAGCCACGTCAGTGCGGGTAAACTTTTGTGGCGGTCTCTGTAGCGAGAGTAATTTCCATTGAGAAACAAGACAAAGCTCCCCTGTTTTAATCTTTCTTAAAATAATCTAAGTAACTTTAATTATTCACATCCTTATCCATGGAGATCAACCTTCTTTTTTTTTTAAATAAAAAAAACCCAAAATCTGAAAAAAAAAAAAAAAAAAAAAAACTTGAATACCCAACAATTAAACGAAGAAATTGAAGAGAACTGACTTGATCTGTTCGTTGATCGCAGCTTCGCACTCATCTTGGTACCTCTGGCGAGCAAGCGAAATCTGGCGGGAGATAGGGATCATGAAATCTTCTTTCTTGACCTCTTCAAATGGTTTGAAGATCACACCTGTCTGCGCCAAACTAGTCTCCGTTGAAGCCGAGACAACGAACCCATAACCCCTCTTTTTGTCCCCAAAACTCGTAACAGATGATGAGGAAGGTGAGCTGAAGCTAGGATGTGATGATAAGGGTAGTCCAAGTCTAAGACTAACCCCGTGCATGGAAGAGAGAGAAACAGCCGGACCAGTTGCCTGCGGAAACATGATTTTAGAGGGGAGAGAGAGAGAGAGAGATTTACAAGAATATGGAGGTTTGAATTAAGGGCAGACTGAGCTAAAATGATCAATGGAGGTGTCAAGGTACGAGAGAAGGGACTTGTTGGTGCTCATAAATATACTGATGAGACAATTATGTTGTCGGAAAATGTTTGGGACTTTAAAATTGGAACATTAAAATAATTTTAATGTGTGTAGGCGTTATCTAAAATGATGTTTTAATCTTATTTTTTATTTACTTTTTATTTTTTTAATTTTAAGAGGATGAATAGCTACTCTTATGTCGTCAATGGCTTAGCCTTCGTTTGTTTGGAGAGTTAGAGGAGAAATTAAAATTAGTAGTGAGATGAGACTTACTAATATTATATTTGTTTTGAGAAATAAAGAGGGGATTGATAGTGAGTTTCGGATTAGGATGGACCTCTCCAAGGCGATTCGGATGGGCCTCCAAGACTTAGTATTAGAAAAATAGTTCGGCGGTCTAGAAATTTTTTATTTTTATTTATTTTTTATTTTATTTTTTACATGTCGGACATTTTTTTTTTAATATTAATTTTTAATTTTTAATTTTTTTTGTTAAGTAAAAATTATTATTTTATTTGTTTTATTTTTTTTTGAAATTTTTTTATTTTATTTTTATTTTTTTAAATTTTTTTATATGTTTGGCATTTTTTTTTTATTTGATTGAGTGTGATAATATTTATTTTTTATATCACTTTTCAATTAAGTGTGATTATATATATATTTTTTAATCACACCTTCTAATTAAAGTGTGATTATTTATACACTACTACTTTTTAATCACACTTTTCAAATAAGTGTGATTATATATGTATTTTTTAATTACATATTCTAATTAAAGTGTGATTATTTATATATTTTTTAATCACACCTTCTAATTAAAGTATGATTATATATACATTATTACTTTTTAATCACACTTTCAAAATAAACGAAATTATATATATATATATATATATATTTATTTATATTTAATGATGTGATATTTTATTAAATATTTAAATTAATTTGTTTTGTTATTTATTATTTAATAATTAATTAACTATCTTGTTATTAAATCTAAAAAGTGAGTTTAAAAAATGAATTTCTATATCATTTTTCATAGATACATCTTATAATTAAAGAATAAAATGTTATAATTTTATAATTTTTGAGTTATAAGTAAAAGAAAAAATTATAAGTAAAAGAAAAAAATTATAACCAAACACTATATAAAGTATAATAAAAAATCTTATTAGTTATTAGTTATAATTAAATAAGAAAATGACACAATAAGAGGTATATATAATATACTTTTTCAAAGGGTGTGTAGAATAAAATTTCTCAAAATACAAATTAGATGTTCAATTTGAAATAAAATATATTAGTATAAGAATAATAATAATAAAAATTGTAAACATAATATGCGTTTTTTTAAGTAATTAGTATTTTGCCTTATCAAACTATAAGCTCAATTTCAAGTGCCACCATTCTCTTAATATAATTTTGGGTAATTTATAAATATATCTTTGATTACTTAAAATATGAATCGTTTTATGTTGTTTGAAAAATTATAAATAAGAATATTTATCAATAAATCTTATCTTACAATTAAGTACTTCAATTAGTCCTAAATTTTTTTTATTGATCAATTAAGTGCTATTAGTAGAGGGTTTTTTTTTTTCATGTGTTTCTATTTTTAATTTTGATAGTGTTTTGGTGGACAATTATACTCCTTTATTAATGTGACAAGTATGATGTGATATTCCAATATGACAGATATTAATGTGACACTCCAACAATGTGACACTTCAAAAAAATTAAAAAACTCATTTGTGTACTTTTCCTAAATGTGATAACGTGACAGATATTATGTGACACTCTAAGGCTTCGTTTGGCATAAAAAGTCTGGACTAAAATAGTCAAAAAAAAAGACAAAATAGGCTAAAAAGTCAATAAAATAAAATATCACTTTCAAAGAATAATCATTTTATTTTTTTTCCCACAAAAGTTTAAAAAGTCAAAAAATCTATCACAAACAAGACTTTTTAATCTCAGGTTTAAATAACCATAAAATCAACCCATATCCTAAAGGAAGGCTAAAAAAAATATTAAAAAAACTTTTTAGTATACTTTTTCTAAATGTGACAACATGGTAGGTACGATATGACATTCTAAAAAAAATTAAAAACTTCTTAGTGTACTTTTTTCCAAACGTAACATGTAACACTCCAACGTGACAGGTATGATGTGATACTTTAAAAAAATTAAAAACTTCTTAGTGTACTTTTTTTCAAATGTAACACTCTAACATAACGAGTATGATGTGACACTAAAAAACTCCTTCGTATACTTTTTTCAAATATAACACTTCAATGTGATAGGCAAATGAGTCATTACACATTTAAAAGAACTAAATGGATCACAAAAAAAAAATGAGATTATGTGAATTATAAATCCAAAATATGAGACTTATAGGTCAACCTCTCTTACAAATACTCCATTGTCACATTTTTTTATTTAACATAGTTAACTGAAAAAATGAAATTCTTAATTTCTCTCATATATAATAATAAAACTATTTGAATAACTAATTGAAATAAGTTTATGACATTATTAAAAATTATTAATTAACTTGAAAATTTATTAAAAATTATTATTTGTTATGAAATTAGAAACTTTAAAGGGCGAAATGTAATTTCTAAAATTATAAGAAATAAATTATATTTTAAATAAAATTCAAAAAATGTATATATAATTTATTTTATAATTTTTATATAAGCAACAACTAATGGGTTATTTTGACAAAAACTCAAAATATGAGACATCAACAACCCTATCAGAAACTTTCACATATAAACACCATAAACACAACTATAGAGATAATTTGAAAAAAATCCAAAATATGAGATGTTAACGCTATTAAAGGCCTTCACATATAAACACCAACTACAAAAAAATATTTTGAAAAAACTTAAAATATTAGATGTCAATATTATCATAATAGATAGGTTGATAAAATTTTATTAAGGTTTTATTTGAGAAGAGGATTGTGTTAAAATAACTTACTAAAAGATAAAATAGATTAGAATAGCAAATAAAATAAAATGTCATATGCATCCTATAATCATTTCACTTTTTCTTTTATAACCATCAAATTAACCAAAAAAATAATCAACTTTTTAAACATAATTATTTTAGCCAGACTAAAATAGTAAAAAAAACTAAATAACTAACTAAAATAGTGAACTTTCTAAACAAAGCCTGAATTTGTTAGTAGAATTTTTATTTTTAATTTTTATTATCAATTTTTGAATTTTTAGATTAAGAAAGAAGGAAAGGTCACGATAATAAGAAATCACTATGGTACACATCATTTTGAAAGGCGTGTATTATATATATTTTATAATTACAGAAAAAAATAATATAGTTTCATATTTTTTAAGTCATAATTAAAAAAATTATAATTAAACATAAAAATATCATAAATAAAATTTTAAAATAATATCATAATTAAAAAAATTTGATCAAATTAAAAAAATAACTTAATTAAAAATTTATATGGTATGAGAGTGTGCATAGCCTCCGTTTGACAGGTGGGTTGACTTTTTGGCTTTTTAATTTTTTTAGCTATTTTAGCTTGGGCTAAAAAGTTTCATTTGAGAAGGGCTTTTTAGCTTTTTTAATTTTTTTGGTGAGAAAAGAATGTAATAATTATGGATTAGATATGATATTTTATTTGTTAGGACTAAAATAACTTATTTTATTTTTTGTGGTCAAAATAGTCCGAAGCTAACTTGCCAAACGGACAAAATTCTTTAACAGTAATAGGAAAAAGTTTTCGAGTGGCACACGGTTCACTTTGGACCGTCGGATGAACTGAAGAGTGGACGGTTGGAGATGAAGAAAAGTAAAAAGGCTTGTGGTGAGCTCGTGGTTGATCCATGATCTATTGAAATCCAATGAATATCCGGTAAGCGTCACTGTCAAGGCATCCTGCCTTACTTTGTTTAAAAAGAAACTAATGGTAAAACATAAAAATATAGTAAATTACACTCATATCCAAGTTTATGTTTATTATAATTTTTTCTCTCATATTTAGAAAATTATACTGATCTTCTTTGTCAATGTAATTATTTGACGGTGATAATTTTTAACTCAAAATGACATATTTATTCTTAACCTTTACATATACTTTAAAAGGTAAATTATATTGACACCCCATAAGGTTTTAATTTAATACGAATCTCCCCTTTGCATTTAAAAAAAAAATTAATTTAATAAAAATAAATATGAAGAAATATATTTAATTTATAAAAAATTATTACCACTTGAAAGATAAAAATTATATAAAAATGATAATTATTTTTTATTTTTTATTTCTTAACTAAATTAATTTTTAATTTTTTAAAAAAAATTCTAAAAATCAAACCATGCATAGCCTAACAATCTTTTGATAAGTCATTTCTTACGTTGGTAACTTATTTAATTATTTGTTAATTTTACGACATTTTTATCATCTGATGCCTGTTTGATAACCTTTTCGTTTTCAGTTTTCAATTTATATTTACAAAAATTTTAAAAACTGTCACAAAAACTTGTTTGATAATTTTTTTCGTTTATAAACGGTTGTCTCAGTTTTTAAATTTGAGAAAAAAACATAAATTCAAAAAATGAGTTTACGTTGGTTTTTAAATAAAAATTTAAAAATTTGACTAACAATTTTTTTTTTCAATTAATTTTTTTTCCAATTAATTTTTTTTTCAACTAATACTAATCGACTGGCCAATTGGTAATACTACTTTAAACCTTGGAGAGGGGATTATAATTTCTAAAATATGAGAGGTGTCAATGTAATTTACCCAGTGAGGGAAAAATTGGTATTTAAAAAAATTAAATTGCTGACATCAGCAAAATCTGTTAGTTGACTTAACAGTCAACTAACTGAGGGAACAATCTGTAATGCAATTTTAAACATCAGAGAAATGGATATAATTTTCAAAAGGTGAAAGGGGGAACTGTAATAAACATAAATCTCAGGGTGTCAATGTAATTTACCCAAATAGTAAAAAATAAAATGAAATAAAATATTTATTTTTTTATGTACATTTGAATAGATGAAAATTTTTATAAAACAATAATGAAA